GTCTCGTCCTCCTCTCCACAAGCAGTGCACACTGTATCAATTTCCTGGTACTTCACTCTGTATGTTCTGGTTCGCAGAACACCCGTTCTTGCCTCAAACAGCAATGAGCTTCCCCTAGAATTGTCATAAATGCTTTCTTTGGCAATAACTCTTTTGTTTAATCTATAGCTTTCCAGAGCCGTCTTTGTCTGCATTCCCTCTAGCCACCAATCCCTTTCTGTGGACTTAACTTTCTTCTTAACTGAGACTTGCTCTTCCGTATCTTCGCTATAGCCCAAAAACTTTCCTCTTAATTTCCTAGTGCGCTGTCTCCACTTTGTGTCTACACTCCTCATGTATAAATAGCTGAAAACCTTTCGTGCCCATTGCTCCCCGTCCATTTGCCTCAACCTATCCTCAAATTCTACCTTGCTCACCGCTTCCCTGCTCTCAAATGATGCCCATCCCATGTCTCCTTGTACTCCCTGGTTTGGCGTTTTGCAATGTGCCCCCAAAGCCAGTCTACCTACTCCGCGCTGTTTTATTTCTAGTCTCGCATGCACTTCGGATTTCATGCATAGCACTGCGTTTCCAAAAGTCAAGCCAGGCACCATGACCCCTTTCCAAATCTCTCTCACCACCTCATACCTGTTGTAATTCCAAAGTGCTCTATTTTTCATTACAGCTGCATTTCTGTTGCCCTTACCTATTATATACTTTTCATGGTCTCTGAGATATTCTGCACCATCACATATCCATACTCCTAGATACTTGTATTTACTAGCTCTCTCAACTGTAATATTCTGTATCTTCAGCCTCTCAACTTCATCCTCGTTAAAAATCATGACTGCCGATTTTTCGCTACTGAATTCTAAACCTAATTCCTTTCCTTCCCTACCACAGATGCTCATTAATTCCTGCAACTCTGTCCTGTTGTTAGCCATTAGTACAATATCATCCGCATACATCAATCCCGGTAACGATTGCTGAATTTTTTGGCCTAGCTTACTGTAAAAAAGGTTGAACCCAAGCCCACTCTTCTCTAGTCTATCCTCCAATCCTCTCAGATACAACATAAACAGCAAAGGCGATAACGGGCACCCCTGCCTAAGGCCGCGTCTTATCTCTATTTTCCCTGTCGCCTTTCCTTCCCATGTTATAATCACCTTGTTATCTTTGTAAATGTTCCTAAATAGTGCTGTTAGTCCTTCATCTAGGTTTAAGTTCTCCATTATGTCCCACAGGTTTCTTTGGTTCACATTGTCATAGGCACCCTTGATATCCAGAAATGCCAGCCAGAGCTGTCTGTTTTCTTTTTGCGCTATTTCTATACACTGTGTTAGAGAAAATAAATTGTCCTCCAACCTTCTTTGTTTTCGAAACCCGTTCTGTAATTCGCCCAGTATGCCCTCGCAATCTACCCATTCTTCCAGTCTGTTCTTTATAATCTGCATTACCAACCTGTAAATAACCGGTGTCACAGTTATAGGACGATAATTCCTAATATCAGACTTATCTCCCTTTCCCTTATATATCATACTCATCCTACTAAGCCTCCATTCATCTGGAATATTTCCTTTTGTTATCATGGTACTCACTACCTCCCTTAGTTTTGCCTTAGATTTAGGACCCAAATTCTTCACCAGCTTGATATATTACAAACAAACCGGAGCGCCCCTAGTGGACGCCACCGGCGCCGCGCATGCGCGGTGGATGGTGGGCAAGAAGCCCGCCGTCGCCCATAAACAAACCATTGAATTGCGTTGCTGTCGGCGTCGGTGGGAGTCCCCGTACTCTTTTTCGCGTTGGAATTGTTGATTCTTCGTCCTCCTAACAATGTCTGACTACTTGAGCGGCTTCAGTAAAACTAACGAGGCAAAACTTTGCGTTAATAATGTGACGTGCGGCGATTCATTTCACGTGGACGCCACAGAATGGGCGCTAAAGCCTGACTCCCACGATGAGATTCTGCTCGCTATTTTCAGTCGCGACGTCGCTCGGGCTGCGAAAGCATGGACCGTAGCTGAGGTGGTGCACGTCGATACTGAAAACTGCAAGTATAATCGGGCATTACAAGTCGGTGATGGCCACTGATAATGATCAACATCTTCTTGTATCTGTTTTACACTTAGCCTACTTAACCCAACCAACCTTCAAAAATGTTTTGATGCCTGCACTTAGTTCTTATCGCAATTACCGGGTCAACGTTTGGTTTCCGGGTTGCTGTCGTTTGAACGAGCTGACGACAAAAAAGCAGACAAGTTTGAAAGAGCAGACGACAGTCCGAACGCATGCGCAACTAAGTACGAGCAAAAAGCACCGCGTCCCGCGTCCACAGACCGTTGGAGTCACGTTGTCGGCGCCTGTGTGAGTCTGCATACTCTTTTTCGCGTTGGAATTGTCGATTCTACGTCCTCATCGCAATGTCTTATCACTTTAATCGCCTGAGCGAAATTATCAAGGCTCGTTACACCGCTAAACTTTGTGTAAATAATTTGACGTGCGGCGATTCATTCGCACGAACGCCGCAGAATGGACGCCAAAACCATGATGAGATTCTTCTAGCTATTTTCTGTCGCAACGTCGCTCGTGCTGCAAAAGTGTAGCAAGTAGCGGCGATAATCGACGTCGATACTGAAAATCAGAAGCGGGAACAGACCAAGCGTAACAAGTCGGTGACGGCCAGCGGTACCAATGATCAACATTTTGTATCTACTGTTTACACCGAGCCTATACTTAAGTCTTTTGAAGCCTGCAATTACTTTTTATTGCAATCACCGGGTCAAAGTTTGGTCTACGGGCCGCTTTTGTTTGAACGAGCAGACGACAAAAAGCAGACAAGTTTGAAAGAGCAGACGAAAGTTCGAACGATCAGGCGGCCGTGTGTATTTGAAGACGCACTGAACCCGTGGGTGGTCCGGACAACTTGCCGGTTTTCTCTCGTTCATGTTGGAACAAATCAAATGCATCTGGCGACCACAAAGTGTTGTCTGCACAGGCAATCGTAGTTCGACAGCGTCTGGTTTGCCCTTTTCACGGCTACTATCCACGTTCTCGGACAAACGGAGGGTGCAGAAACAAGTGAAAACTGATCTTCAAACCTTTCCAGACTCTTGGTACAGCCCCCGACGCAGCATTTTGACGAGAAGGCAGGTTTTCTGTCTGGTTTCTTCCAAAAGAACACAGGAATGCATGTCTCACACGGCGACTTCTGCCCACCACCCCAAACCGGAAGTGCGCCCGACGCGCCACCACCGCGGCGTGACGTAGGAGAGTTGAGTTCGTGTATATAGTTGTAGCTGGACGTTTTCTGCCAGCAGCGCCCGTACATCCCGGGCGTCCACTTTCAGGCAAAGTTGAAGTGTCATTCGTCTGAGGTCAGTCTCATTATCAGTTCCGTCTTCCCACTTGTCATTCACTTTTTTGTCGTCGTCACCACCGGGTACCGCAGGGACAGGGCTGGACAAGTCTTTCTTGAAGAGGGTCCTTTCCGTTTGGTGCACGCCTTACACTGGAACGTGCTGACTCCTTTACTCACGAGAAGTTCATAATCTTTTTCAGCAATGTTCACACACTTGCGATGGAATCGTAGGTCGCAGGTTCCGGCACACGTTATAAATTGCTGCCTTCCGTTGGTAGGCAGGGAGCAGCTGCCAGCTTCCACATGCATCCTTCTTCGTCGACACCACTCTGACGAGTCACGAATGACGTCGACGAGGAAGGATGGATCGCGACAGCCAATTGGAGGAGACCCCCCAACACCCCCCCCCCCCCCCAGAATTGTCTGCGCAAATCACATACAAGTCTACATTCCCCTTCCCCCTCCCCCCCTATAGCCCCCCAAATATTTGTGACATCCCCGCCCCCCCCCCCCCCCCCCCTTCCACGTTAACAATTTTGGATAAACCTTTGGGAGGAAGGATAGCACCAGCCAAGTGGGGGTCACTTTTGCCTGGTGAGTGGGATACCGGTTTATCACTCTAAGCCCCCCTACATCGTTGAGTACTACCAACGTGACTAGACGCAACCAGCGTCGTAAAACTAAAAAAAGTGAAATAAATATTGAGCCACCTTACAGGGGAGCTTCGCTTGTCATTAATATGTAAAAGTTTCTGGGGTTGGGTTCTCAGACTTGACATCCCGAAATTCTGGACAATCTTCTGAGAAACACCCAAATTTTCTGGCAGTCTGATAAATGATATATAAAGAGTATAACTACAGCTACTTTCGGCCACTGATTGGCCGAAATTCAATGGTCAGTGGCTGGCCAAACGGAAATGGCAATGGCATAAATGCCCAGTAACTGGCATAAAATGAATGGCCAGCGACTGGCTTAAAGTAAACGGACAGTCACTAGACAAGGACCAAACCACTGCCAAGCACTTTGACCAACCTTGGGCCATCGAAAATCTGGTTGGCCATCGTGCACTTACCAGCGATGGCCTATTCACAACGTGCTGCTTGGAAAGATGTTCATTCTAGTTGTTCTTTGTTTGGGCGCTTATCGATTACATTTCTATTACGTTTGTATAGGGTAGGGTGTCTTATAGATTCGTTAAACACTCGCAAGATTACTGCCGCACTAACAGCTAACGCTGTAAAATATAAATGACAATGCATTCCTTCTCATAAATGGTTCATCTTTTTGGTGGATTTGAAAACCGATATGAATAATCTAATATATTCATTGAGCATGCGTTGTTTGTGATGTACACAAAAATATAAATATATCCGCTTTTTGCTTTCGCAGGGGGGGGAGGCAAATTTTTTTCAGTTCGCCATCCCTCTTCCCAAATAAATCCTGCATACGCAATTAGCCCACTCTATAGCTGTAGATTTATTTATTTGAATATGTTTTATTTGCTATAAAATATTTCTTCACCGATGCTTTTAATAAAGTCCAGTCCACAGAGCAAAACTGGCGTTGTAAAACTACGGAATACTACGATCGATTTATTTTACTTCCTATTCCTCATCAACTACATCGTATTCTGCAACCCACTTCTTCGACAGTAGCTCATTCAGTTGTATTCATTTGCGAATTCTTCGTGGAAGTCCTTGATTCGGTCAAGCATATCCTGGAGCTTTGCCATTGGTGGAAGTATGGTGACTCTGAAACATGTTTGTGATTAAAGTCAGGATGAGCACGGCCAACTTCCTGTGACATTCCGTGGAATGAAAGGTTTTCGAGGTAATGTGAAAATTATAATTGATTTGCGTTCTATGATGCCCAGGCAGTCACAGTATTCTGGAACATTATGATCTTTTGTCAAGAAAAGCAAAAATTTAGAATTTTGTAAATGTAACTCATAAGATTCTATGCAAAAAAAAAGTTAGAACTGTGGAATAAGAGCCATGCGCGTCCTAAAGTTCAATTACTGCGTATTGATATGTTATAGTTGTCATCGAAAGTATTCCCGGGAAACATTGAGATGTTTTTGTTGTTCAGTTGAAATCCTCATTTATTGCATGCACCGAGGTGTTGATGTCCCAGAAAGTTGGGGAGGGGGGTTGGTTATACAATTCACACATTTAGGAAGATAACACAGACGAACAGACAAGTATTACTCCCAATTGGTAGTTATCCATTCGTAGGTTTTCATTATCTCCTTAGATGAGTGAAACGTTCGTCAGTTATCAGACGGGTCAATGTTCCGATTTTAAGTATTTTGTTTCTCATGAATGTACCCAAAAGGTAACAAATTGCTCACCCCATTAAAATGATTTCTGCTAGGATGTATGAGCTATAATTTTAGTATTTCTGCAAGCTATTATAATGGGTCGTGTGAGTTGACCACAGAGCATGATCTAGAGGCACGTTTGGGGTGGTCATACAAACTCCTGTGTGGCACAGAACTTAGCGTTCTAGAATTTTGAAAGCGACATTTGGTTATCTTAGGCCAGCATGAAAGGACATGCCAGTTTTCGGCTGACATCGAACTGTTTGAGTATCGCTCTAGTCATAAAATCGGGATAATTCGGGTGTCGTTGCTCTGGAAATATATCTGTGTAACTTAGGTCATTACCCCAGATAATTTAAGACGAGGGTCATAGATACTTCTTACCGGAAATGACAGGTTCCCAGGACTTGTCCAAACAAGCTGCCTGGCAATACACACACACCTGCGTTTTCCAGCAGTTGACTCACATAGAAATAGCTGGCATCCTGACCAAGGCGCTGTCCAAGGAGGAAGTAAAATATCGAAGCCAGAATATGCTTGAACCGGTTACAAAGATTGAGATATTTTTTGTTTCGTACACAGACCACTTTGTAGACTTTGATCACCAATCAACGCGCTCGCGAGATGCTTAATTATTAGGGGTGTGCGAATATTCGAGTTCAAAATTCCAATCAGGTTGTGATACACCGAATACTTGAATTCAATTTTCAGATTTTTAATATTTAAGTTTTCGGTCAATTCGACGCATCGAATGCTGCCGGACAAATTGGGGTTTATTGAAGCATAGTGCATATATGGTGACGAAGTCTGCGCCTGAGCTTCTTTACCGTGCTCGACAAAAACCTGCAAACTACGCACATCGCCATCTTTAATGGAAGTACCTGGCGTAACCTTCCATCGGCTTTCTGAATTAGAAACAAGTTACTGGGTCTGTAATATAACAATTCATTACAAAAACTCATATAACAACAACAATAAACTTTCCTTGTCGGCCCGTGTGCAGACCTGTCGCTCCCTCAGTGTAAAGCGGGGTGCCGTGAATATAGGTGACGCAGGACATCGCTTCTATTCAAACAGTGCAGCCGTATCTGTCTATGCCCCTATGAGGCTGTCGAATGCTGCGTATCTAAGCCCGATTGTTTGGACACAAGTTTGAGCTGCGTCTGTGCCTCTCAAGTTTGTTCTTTGCTTGCTTGGTAAGTGATCATCAACGCGGGTTTTATCCGTGCCATTCTCTCTTAGTTCAGCGTGCTTGCAGTAAACATAGGCATTTGCTTTTTTTTTTTTTTAAGCGGTCTTGTTTATTTTTAGTACATTAAAAATACAATACTTGATATTCGCTATTCAGTTTGATACTTAACTTTCTGGCAACTATTCGGCACAATTAGATTTGAATAGGAATCGACCTGAAATTTCGCTATTTGCAGACCCCTATTGAATATAATTTTGTTGCATTCCATGCTCTATGAAATTCTCTGGGTAGGGCATTTCATCACAACAAAATAGCTAGTAACTGGGGTGCGCTTTATTTTCATCACACTACAGTTCTAAGTGTTACACATCTTAGCCAGAATTTTTTTTGAAACGAGACAGCAAATATAGTAAAGAAAAAAGAAAACGCGAAAATCCAAAGGCATAGACATAGAGGAAAGAATACACAGGAGAAGGCGTTGTGTTCTCTCCTCTATACCCCTAATTTTCGCGCTGTTTTTTTTATCAGAAATTCATACCAGCTAGACCAACTGTCCAGTCTAGTAAGGAAATATCCATATAGGTTTTCTTTCTTTTCTCTTAGCTTGGTATAATTAAACTGGTGTCTCTGAACTCCGGAGTATTCGAAAAACGTTGCAGGATGAGTACTTTGGCTAAACACTCTTTTCCTCGAAGAGCAATAGTTATTTGAACTTCAAGGAATATACTAGAGTATTGGCTAGAACGTTAGCCCGGTTAATAGATTCAAGCTAATAAATATTGGCGCTTGCTCTGAAAGCAAGGTGTTTTTGCAAAATCTGCACATAATATTGGGTACCGTACCCGCTCGCATTGTGGATGTGTCTTTTTCCGGATCCCCAAATGGCGAACTCGAGTACTGATTAAAGCATCGGAAACTAGTTTGAGATTTATTTCTGCCTTCGTCGGTAATGGCCGAAAATTATAAAACCCATGTGATCATGAGGGTTCCTAAGCTTGTAAGTCAGATTTTAGTTGCAGGTTAAAAATTATCAGATGAACTACACTAATCCCCCGTCCTTTTCTAATGCGTGCCAAATACCCCCCCCCCCCCTTTTTTTTTTGTTTGACGCATACCTTCACCCCCTGAAAATACATGAACTTTAAGCTTCCACTAGCGTTTTAGGTTGACACTAGTAGGGCTTTTAATTAATCTGACCAAGGCTTATTTTAAGTTTTAAAATAGACCGATCTCACCAGCTAGTTTGAGCACGCCACCGCTGCCGACATGCATCGTGGGAGCTGTAGTCTTTCTGCATGCGCGACAACCCCGCTGGAGGTCTGCTCGAGCAGAGCACGAGGCGGCATGAGCTCTCTCGTGAACTGGCGTCTGCCCCCTACGAACTACAGTTAAGGCGGCGTCACGCATGCGTGGAACGCTTGGTGAGATCGGTCTATTAACAACCTCACTAAACGGTGCACACCTTTGCAACAACACCAATGCTACTACTACTACTAGTAATAATAATATTATTTGTTATTCAAGGAAGCACGGGATTGGAAATGCGCGTGTAGATGAATGAAAATAGAGTTCAGAGTACGAGCTAGACAAAGAACGGTGTCCTAACTTTCACTCCATGCCAAGCTTTTTTTACGTGCTTCTCGGTAACACAGTCTGATGGCAGCTACTGGGTTCTGTAGTAGGACGTCATCGTTTCCAAGGCCGTGGGATGCTGAAAGCACTACATTTGGAGGATGCCTCACGAGAACAGCGAAACTTTCCAGCCCAGTGCCATGAACGGGAACAGCGACGGCTCTGGCCCTTGCACCTTCAGAGCATCAGCGGATCTCCTTTCTTCAACCCCTTTGCTGTCGAGCTACCAGAGAAGCTGGATCTTAGGGGTCCAAACGATAGGAAGAGATGAATCACCCGGTGGGAACGATACCCCTACCGAAAAAAACAAAACAAAACAAAAACAGTATAACTTTTCACTAAATTTTCTGTTTCATAATCCAGTGAGCGAAAAGTTGTACTGTTTTTTTCGGTAGGGACCGGATCGTTTCTGGACTCAATCTTCGGGACGCTTCAGCGCAGGTAAGCACATTTCTGTACGCCATGGGGAGAGAAGCGGAAGATCTTTTCACGTCACTCCATCTGTCAGAAGCGGAGCTCAACGACTTTGGCGTAGTGAAGAGAGTTCGATGCCCACTTCATTCCGCGCGTAAACATCATCTTCGAAAGGGCGAAAATTAACACGAGGAAGCAAGATCCAGAAGTGAAATTTAAGGCCTTTATTACAACTTTACAGAGATTGTCGGATTCCTGCGACTATGAAAAACTTCGCCAGGAGCTCATCCGTGATCGCATTGTGGTAGGTCTCTTGGACAGAAAGCTGAGCGAGAAACTTCAGCTCGACGCTAAGCTCACAATGGAAAGCGCGGCAGCGTCAGCACGATTGTCAGAAACGGTTAAAAGGACCATGAAACGATTCTGAAATCGAATTTCATCCACCGATCATCGTAAAAGGTGTGAAAAGAAACACAAAAACACAAATAATAGGGAACCAAAACAATTCTTCGCTACAAAACTTTTAAAAGAAAACTGGACTCTTTTTCACCTTCTTTCCTTCGAAAGCTCTCTGCCTTTTCACTGCGATGCATCCGCGGAACCGCAGTACTATCAGTGTACGTCAGCCGAATCCCCGTCGCCTACTGGGTAAGAGCCTACCTCACCAGCACAGCGATCATAAACAATAAATAGCCGGCGAATGTTTCCTAAAAGTTTTGTTAAATAATATTCAGATCCACTTCTTGTAGCACAATTAGAGATGTGACGAAAATTGCCAAATTTGATAATGCCGAGAGCCAAGCGCCGTCTATCGTGTGGTAAACGAAGCAAGAGAAAGACCCTACTGTGTCGCTCAGTTGGCTCTTACTTGGTCGAGACGACCAACGAACGTTTATTTTTCTACGCGTTCTTCTCGCGCATCCCGACTTCAAGCAGCAAGAAACAATGGCCGCATCTCCACGTGGTGAATGATGTTGATCGGGGCGAAGCTCTGGTGGGCCTGATAACACTGATTTTATTCATAGGTAGTGCTGATGGTACTGACTTTTTAGATTGCAGCTCTTAGGCGCCCGTTTCCGGCTTGAGCGGCGTCGCTGTCGCCGTCGCCGTCGGCGTAACCAAGGTCACCCCAAGGTCACGTGAACCCCCAAGGTCACATGACCCCTCCCAAGGTCACGTGCCCCCGGAGGTCACGTGACCCCTCCCTCCCTGAGGTCACGTGACCCCCCGAAGTCACGTGACTACCCTGAGGTCACGTGACCCCACAGGTCACGTGACCCCCCGATGACGTCATCGTCACTGATGACGTCACCGGCATCCGCATCATCATCATCACTGATGACGTCGCCGGCATCCGCATTGTTATCGTCACTGGTGACGTCATCAGTGACGTCACTGATGACGTCACCGGAATTCGCATCGTCATCGTCATCATCACTGATGACGTCACCGACATCTGCATCGTCATCGTCATCATCACTGATGACGTCATGTCATAATCACGAATGACGTCATCAGTGACGTCACTGATGACGTCACCGACATCCGCATCGTCATCGTCATCATCGCTGTTGACGTCATCGGAGTCCGCATCGGCATCGTCACAAATGACGTCATCAGTGACGTCACTAATAACATCATCGGCATCGTCACGTAACCCCTCAAGGTCACGTGACCCCCCCAGGTCACTTCACCCCCCCTGTACCCTTCCCTCCTCCTCCTCAAGAGCTGCGCTCTAATTCGGCGTTACAGGGAGTTGTAAACGGCTTTCACTTTTTTTATTGTTCATAGGTAGTGCTGCGTTCCGGGTTGCGTTTCGACTTCATTATTACTGCTTTATGGTCGGCGAAATGCAGAGCCAGTGGTTCTTCTAGCGGATCAGCTTGGATCCGCTAGAAGACGTGGGAACGCGTCAACGGACCATGTCAGAAAAAAAATGTGTGGTATGGAACGTGGAATTATATATATATTTGAGCATTTGACCACAGCACCCTCTCGTTTATAAACGTAGAGCCAATGCATGCAAAGTTTAACGCGATTATATAGACGCTTTACAGCAGCTGTGCATAGGCGCCGCCATAACTGACCTTCAGTTTTTGTTCCCTCTTATTCCGTTCGCTTCACTTCATAATTACCACAGCAGGACAGGTTATTGTCATTTTAGATGCTACTGTGTTTTTGTGCCCAGCATAGGCCCTTGTGAAGACCCGTCAACGCCCGCTTCAGTGGCTCGGCATCTCGGTAAGACAAGAGAAGGGC